CTCCATCTACCCGTTACCCAATTCCAAAACCACTTTCATATGTTTATGCATTTAGCACAGCAACACCCAACCAACTTGCTGGTACCCAGAGCTGCACTTGTCACCTCAGGCTGCCATAACAAAATGTCACAGACTGAGTGGCTTAAGCAACACACATTTATTTTCTCCCGGTCTGGAGGAGGCTGCAAGTTCAAGATCAGAGTGCCTTCATGGTCAAGTCCTAGCGGGAATGGTTGCCTTCTGAGTCCTCACATGGCGGGGACAGAGGAGGAGAGGGGTGGGAAAGAGAGAGAGAGAGAGAGAGAGAGAGAGAGAGAGAGAGAGAAGGAGAGAGGAGAGAGAGAAGGAGAGAGAGGAAAGAGAGAGAGAGAGAGAGATTCAGACTGACTCTTCTTGAATAAGGCGACAGCCACAGTCCTATCATATTAGGGCCAGACAGTTATAAGCTCACTTTATCGCATTGGGTGTTAGGGCTTCAGCACACCAATTTTGGGAAGACACAGTTCCTGCCCGAAGCAATGATCTAACCTCATTCTTAGCCCAACAGCACCGACTCTGAAACTGATCACCCCATCTCTGAATGCAATCTGTTCCCTCCAGAAAACCCATGTAGTTGTTCCCTCTAGATCTGCCTTTGCGGTTCCTGGGGTATTTGGTAGTCCCACTCTATGTAAACCTCCCTTTTGTTTGTTGATCCCTTCCTACTGGCTTCCTCTCTTCCCCATCAGACTTAGACTCTGTGCCTCACCACTTCCACTCAACCTGGCCAGCACCCACACCCACTGCTTCGATGTTTGCCCCACTTCCCCCAACCTTACCCTAGACCATCCCTATTCTCCTGCTGTGCTCCTAAGGCCAGGTTGTCAGGATTGGCTGGACAAAAGCATCCCAGGTGGGTGCTACTCTGAGTCCACGGTCAGCTGAGCCATTGGCACTACCGGGCAGGCTTAGAGCTTTCCAGAGTCAGCACCTACTTTCCACGCTGCACAGCATCTAACACAAGTCTTTCCATCCAGCCCCAGCTCCACACCTGGCCACACCTTCCGTGGGATTGACCCCCGCTCATGAGACAGGAGAGCAAGAGGCTCCTAAACTCTAGCCACAAAAGACTTCCTTCAGGGATGTTGGGGATCTCCCGGACCCCGCGGCACGTGCCCAGAAGAGCCCACTTCGACTAATACTTGACCTTCCTTGGGAGGCGATAGTGAGCGACACCGCCATTTTCCGGTGCATATCTTGTGCAAAAGGAGCAACAGCGCCTGCGCAGAACACGGAGCCGGTTGCAAACTGAAGTGCCGTGTGCTGAGGACGACCAGCTGGAGACTGACAGGGCACAGCCACGCCTCCCCAGGGCAAGAACACCGCCGTTCAGCTCCCTGGATCCAATCGGCTGGTGGAGCTTCTCTCTGCTGTGCCGTCTCCCTCGTGCGACAGCACAAGGCCGCTAAACTTGCCTGGGTTAAGGTTTGACTGCTTGTCAAGTCCTGCTATGATGGAGTTGAAGATCCTGCAGTAGGTGCCACCCTTCCTGCTCTCCCTGGTTTCCAGTACCCCTGTCCTGCTCCCTGGTAGCGGCTTCCCACTGTTGCCACGCTCCTCTGTGCTTCCCACAATTGTCTGCTTCTCCACCACCAACTCATCCCGCAATTCGGTTCAGTCCTGACATAGTTACTCAGTTAGTGCAGACCACAGAGTTTAAGGGGCTCTTCCCAAAGCCTGCCCCCGCCTCAGACACCGGCCGCAGCCCCGGGCTGTCTCCGGGTGATTCACACTTCTGTCTGACTTGACTACAGATTCGGGTTCCCATAACTCCCTCCGATTCCATAATTCACTAGGGCGACTCAGAGGACTCAGGAAAGCGTTGTACATTGTGCTGACAATTACAATTTAACAAACATTCTTGCAAAATGTCAAATAAGAAAGGAGAGAAGTCAGGAAGAGCAAAATGAAGCCTTGCATGAAACCAGGTCCGGAGAGGTCCCAAGTACAGGTGCTTCTGTCCCCTGGGGGGTGGGGTCACCACCGCCTGGGGTGCTGACATAGTCTCCACCCAGGGAGCTCCCGGAACTGCACTGTTCAGGTTCTCACTGAGGTTTTCTGATGAGTACACGGTTGATTACATCGTTGGCCACTGGTGATGGGACTCAGGCTCCCTCTCACATCCCTGGTGCCCCCTCCAACAGTGTTGTTGGTGGCTCTGACCACCGTGCCTTCCTGAAGTTTTCCAAGGGCCTCCCAAGAGTCGCCTCATTAGCATCAACTCAGGCATGGCCAGGAGGCGTTTGCTATGAAAAGCAGCACACTCATCGCTTAGGAAACCCCAGGAGTGTTAGAAGGTCTGTGCCGAGGAACCAGGGACAAAGATCAAATATGTATTTTTTTATGATACCATGACTCTGTTGTTTGCACTCACCCTGCCCACACCTCCCAGGTGAATCATCTAGACGCTGTCAGGCAAGGCAGCCGTCTTCTGTGCCCTGTGCCCTTCTCACAGCAGCTGGGACACATTGCAGCTTCGGGGCACCTCAGTGTGCTCTCCACTGCGGGGAGACTCCGTGGGACAGAAACATGTCCCGCTCCCATATGCCCATTGTAGCACAATGTTTGGCCATAGGCGTTGGGAATAATTTTTTTCAAGTGGATATTGTGGTTTGAACATGGTTTGTCCCCACCGAAACTCATGCCGAAACTTGGTCCTCAACACACTATAGGGACCTCTTGGCCTCTCCTTTATGACCTGGGCAGTGATGGTTTATTTGATTCTCGGGATACGGAGCTGGGGGTTCTATTGTCCTCTTGGGGAAACAAACTGTCTGTAGACTTTCCTGTTTGCCTGAGAGGCGAGGGAGTGGAGATTGGGAATACCCGCTCTGCCCGGTTCAGATCCTGCCTCCAGACTCACTGGGGCAAGCTCCATGACTCAGCTCACATGTGCCCCGGTACCTGCAACTATAGAATGGGACAGATGATAATACTTATGTCTTAGAATTGATCTGAAGATTAAATAAGCACTTAGAGCACGTTGTAAGTGAATGATAAACTCAAGATGCTGCTAGCATTCCTCTTTTATAATCCTCCTTTATGGAGGGAATAAAAAGATATTGCCATGTATGCATAAAGGAATCCTGGAGAGATATATCAGCCACTACAACACAGGGTAGTAGGAGCACGACCTCACAAGGTGCAGGATTTTAAGTCAGATTTTTGCACTGATTTTGAGGTTTCATTTATGTATCCCTATTTTCAAAAACATTTTTCTGTTGATTGTGTCTGTCAGGTTTGGAAATTCTCTTCTGTGGATGTGCACGTTTATTGAAGTGCTCTCTCTCGCTCTCTCGCTCTCACATACACATAATCGCTCTCATCCTCCTCCACCTCTGTCCCTCCTTATTGCATGCGGATTACAACAAACATTTCCAGGGTCCTGTCCTGCAACCTCATGGCTCCTCTGTGTTGAGCTCGAAGGTGAGCTGGGGTCAGGACAGAACACATCCCATGGAGGCAAAGCCCTATTCTCGTGAACTTGTGTTCCCATCAGTGGCAGCAATGCAAAACAGATGGCCAAGCAGGGCTTGGATTTAAAATGCTCTGAATGCATAATACACATGGAGCCCATAGAGGCTTTCAGACCAGACTGATCAGGCATTGCAAAATCCTTTATCTCAAACAGGTTTCCGTCGTGTGTGAGGGCATTAAAAATGACAGTCAATTCTGTTGACTTCGTGCTTTACATTAAAAAATAGGAAGCATCACAATGCTTTTTTGGGGGCGAGTGCATTTTTTCTAATCCCATAATTGACTCTCCAAGCATCCAAAGCACATCGCATCCCAGTCTTTCCGATAGCCACCTCTTTCTAAAAGCCAGCTAATGTATGCGTTTGCAGACACAAAGACCAAAATAAATTAAGTGGTGCCTGCTCTGGTACCCCTAAGTGATGAGATACGGGAGGAAGAAGGGAGAACAAAGAAGACATCGGCACTGGCTCTGGGAGCCCGAGTGCACGTCCCCTGCTGGCCCCCCGCCCCCTGCCTTGCTCATCAGCCCACACACAGCCCTACCTCTGTGGGAGACTCGGTGCCAGGCTTTGGCAACCCCGAGAACAACAAGGAGGGGCTACTTGTCCTCAAGGAGCGCATTGTCCAGTGAGAGAGACGGTACAATCATGTCTTTATGATGCAACCTGGGAACTGCTGACAGGCAGAGGGAAGAAGGTGCCTCTGGAGCCTGCAGAGTGAGCTAGTGTCCACACAGGTGACCGGGCATTGGTTCCTTAGCAATCTTAAATGCTTGTCTGGTCTGAAATGTACAAGTTAATTAAAAATGAATCTTGCCAGCGCGGCGGCTCACTAGGCTAATCCTCCACCTGCGGTGCCAGTACCCCGGGTTCTAGTCCCCGTTGGGGCGCCGGTTCTGTCCTGGTGGCTCCTTTTCCAGTCCAGCTCTCTGCTGTGGCCTGGGAAGGCAGTGGAGGATGGCCCAAGTGCTTGGACCCTGTACCTGCATGGGAGACCAGGAGGAAGCACCTGGCTCCTGGCTTCGGATCGGTGCAGCATGCAGCCATAGCGGCCATTTGGGGAGTGAACCAACGGAAGGAAGACCTTTCTCTCTGTCTCTCTCTCTCACTGTCTAACTCTGCCTGTCAAAAATGAATCTTAATGAAGAATGGGTTGGGAGAGGGAGTAGGAGGTGGGACGTGGGGGGCGAAGGTGAGTATGGGGGGAAGAACCACTATATTCCTAAAGCTGTACCTATGAAATAATATTCACTGAACAAAACTTTCTTTAAAAAAAATAGAGAGAAGGAAGAAGAAATGTGTCTCCTGTTCTGTTTGCTTCCGTGATCAAGGTCTGGTGTCTGAGGTGTGGCGCCCAGCGAGGCTGCCTTCGCCGGGCATTTGTGTGTGTGTGTGGGCATCCACTCCCCAGATGTTCATTCCGTGTAAGGCACTGTGTGTGCGGCCAGTGCTGACCGCCTTCCGACGGTTCTGTCTTCACAGAGGACAAATCGCCACAGTGGAGCGTGGGGTGGGGTGCCCGAGAGCCTAGCAAAGGAGAAAAGCAAGCCCCCCGTGAGTGATGCCAGAACCCCCGGGAGGCCAGAGGACTGCACACTTCCCTACCATCCCCTCCCGACGCCTTTGGCGTACACTGCCTGCCAACACGAGTGAGAATCCTTCACGTCGCCATCTTTGCGTCCTTGGTCTCCCTTCTGAAACATGGGAAGAGGCTGCTTAGCAGGAGGCCAGAGATGGGTGCGAGGGGTGAGTGCCTCGGGGGGAGGGGGAGGGGCAGACCGCTGCTGGGCATGGCATCTCTGGGCATTCCCTCGCGTGCTGGGCACTGAAGGGCTCCACGCCACGACTTCGGCCTTTGCACAGCCCCGACGCAGGCCGTGTTTCTCCACACGACAAGCTCGAATCACGTGGTGGTCATGAAGGTTCCCCAGGAGGCAGGGCCGCGATGGAGCCCCAGTCAACGCATCTGAGGTCTGGTTCCTGTTCCTCGATGTCTCAGCTGCCCAGAGGGCCCCGGCGTGAGCCCTGCACGTGCTGTGCCAGGCCCTGCAG